AAAAATTTTTTTCGGGGGCCCAACCCCCCCCCCCCCCTAGCCCAAAATCCTGGCTCCGCCACTGAACAAAACCCGTATATAATCGATCGATTCGTGGAGTCTTAATCAAATATGAATATATTAGTTCATTTTTGGGGCAATAAAAAACAGTTGCCTTTCATATTCCATTCGATGAACGTTCTACTGTACTGTATTCATGCACCACCTATTTTCAAACATTTTTTTTCATTAAATAATCTATGTTTACTGATGACGACAATAGAATAAGTTCAGAAACTTCAAGAAAAGTTTATCGTTAATCTCGCAATTGTTAGAAATACGAAAAGTGGAAGCAAAAATGGTTAGTATTCTACATTGGAAAATTGTTTAACAAATACATAAAATAATTACATAATGTCTATTTGTCTTGTACCTAAAATTTTATTCAAACTTTAATAAAACTATTGATAATTTAATACTAATAAAAATTTAAATTATTTTCTGTTAATAAATAGTTAAATTAAAAACAAAACTATTGTTTTTTTTACTACGGTCTTACTAAAAACTTTATTCTATTTTTCACATACTATTTATCTATAATATATAGTTGATACAAGAAATGAATTTCGCTTCATAGAATCAGATGCTTACAAAAATGGCACATTCGTTTGTTTATTATATACAATGAAGATTTCATGGTACAACACTGCTGAATTTCGATACACTTGAAGTCAGATGCAACCATTTTCAGAATCTTTATGACTAGTTAGTTCAAGCCAAATGATTTCTTTTGAAGATATCCTACTCGGCTGTGTTTTTACTATACTGGAATCATGCATTTCTCTAGTATTGTTCACAACCAGTGTTTACATAAAGTACTTTCCAATTGAACAAACAAATACACGAAGTAGATAGCACTTTTTTTGTTTCTGATTTCTTAGGAAATAGATAAGATGTTTCTTGTAAAACAGCATTTCTCTACTCTAGTTTCTTTCTACCGTTTGTCATATTACCTTCAATGTGTGAATAGATCATGCTAATAAATTTTGTGGAGTCTTGTCGTACGGTAATATCCGGTGGACCCTTCAGCAATGCTTTTAGTTTTTGTAGTTCTTCTGTCCAATTGTCTATGTCAGTGTCCATGAAATCACAATCATCAAGATTCTGACGCACTTCAGTATTTAAACTTGTCAATTGCATTTCCACTCGTGGAATAAAATTTTTGATATAAGGAAGCAATTCCTCTCTAGTTTCATGTGCCAATCGTCGGATTTTTTCAATTGACTGGATTTCCCATTCGTCAATAGTTTTCATTAATGTATGTTGTTGTGGATCATGTATTAGGATTTGAATTTCTTCCAGAAACTGGTTGCAATTATCGGCCACTTTCAGTAATTTTACATTCAGATGGTCACGATGTTGCTTATGATGAGAGCTACAATATAGTATTTCTGGGCACCCCAAACACATCAATGTCGGTTTTATTTTGCAATTTTCAATGCAGCAAACCCGATTCGTTGCAGTCGCCATGCGCCTCGAGTATTTGCAAGAAAAGACAGACAACGATGAATGGGAGGAAAAGAAAGACATACGATACGTGTTTTATTATGAAAATAAATGACTCATGTTAGAGAATACTTTTCAAAATATATCCAAAATATGAGACAGGGAAGGAAATTTAAAATTTGTCATTTGGATAGAAGTTAATAGTATCTGCAGTATTGACTATAGCGGTAATAAAACAATCATTTTAATATCAGTAGCTCTAATGGATCTTATTCTACTCATTATTTTGTCTTGAACTCAAGTTACTTCACTACTGTTGAAACTCAATATTGGTTTCTTTCATCCTTTGGCAACGTTTTCCATCGTCACATGCTGCTGCATTACATTACACTTAACTCGTTCTTTCTTATCAGAAGAAAAAATATTAAACATTATCTCTGTAAGCGACTTCTCGCTTCTCTTTGAGTATATGAGGGTGTGGGTGTGGTCGTGTGAGTTTGGGTGTGGATCTGGGTCTGGATGTGGTTGTGGTTGTGAGTCCGAGTGTTTTCTGCTATCACACACAACCCATACCCACACCTGCGCACGCACAACCACACCCTAAAAATCCTTCAAGTTGCGAGTTTTTTCGAAAAACTCGAAAATCATGTTTTTTTCGAAAAAAAAGTCATTTTTACTAGGGGGAAACAGCAGACTTTTGGACTTCAAGTTACTTTCAGCTACTTTAAGCTACTTCAAGCTACTTCAAGCTACTTCAAGTAGTTTACTTTGAAGTACTTGAGATTACTTCAACATACTTCAGCTACTTGGTCCTACTTTGAACTAATTCAAGCAGTCTACTTTGATGTACTTTGACGTACTTTTCTACTTGAAGTCTGCCGTTTCCCCCTTGCATTTTTAACATAGAGCACGTTACAGAGAAGACCAAAAATTTCGGTCAAAAACAAGATCTTTTGAAAAAAAACACTAGTGATTTCGAAAGAGCAGAACATGGGCTATCACCCCATGTTGTTATCTCAATTTTCATTTTTTTGACGAAAGTCGACCTTTTTTGAGCGGGGGGGGGATTGGCCTTAAAACTGATGACTGTAGTGAGCTGTTGTTATGTGCATATGCACAATCAAAATGTTAGGACAAAAAGATTCGTAAAAATATTTATGGTCAACCCTGTATGTACAGATTGAAGTTGAAATTTCAGCATTACCCTTTACTGCTATTTTATAGAGGAGATAAATACTTTCTGTCAGGGTAACATCATCAGACTTTTGATACTCCACCAACAACTGTACTTACTAGTTCTTAAATACCATAATAAAGTCCATTCTGGCTGGGCATCATGTTCGACTATCTTTTTTCCATTCACAAAGAATGTTAAATAATTAATTCTATTTGATGAAGACATACATAAATCGATTAAAATGTTAATAACAAATCTAAATGATAGACAACCTAAAAACGATGAAAATATCGGATTGCCAGTGTTAGGTAGTGGAGCTGCACTTGGCCCACTATCTTTCTCTTTCTCTTTCTTTCTCTTTCTCTTTCTTTTTCTCTCTCTTGCTTTCTTCATTCTTTTCTTTCGTTTTCTCATCTTTCGTTTCTTTGTTTCTTCTTTTTCTCACGCGTACATCTCTATATATTCCTTTGTTTATGTTTGAAATAAACAGTTATGTATTTTCCACGTCTAGTCTAGATAGAGCTAACAGCCAGAAGTTCGCCAATAGGACTTTCGTCGATGCATCGATTGACGAAAGTCTTATTAGCGAAGTTCCGGAACCCCAAAAATATGGATCAAGATAAAACGACTGCTGTCCATTATTAGAGATTTTTCTTTGAGTTTAATACAATATTTTTCCACAACATTCGTTTCGCGCATAAATATTGGCGTACATGATACCTTTAAAGACAAAGCAAGACAGCAAAATACTTGGAGTGATGAAAGTTCTTTTTGAACCATCGTGAAGGCATTATACTTCATCTGTTATACAAAAAACAAAACGCAATGAAAGCGTTACACAGTAAAATCTTAAATACAGTAACAATCAAAAGTTGCGTTCTTTTTAGTTTTGTTAATAGTGCAATACAGTCAAACTGTGATAAGGTCTTCCCATGAAAAATGATAAATAGGCATAAGAGAAAATGTGGCGTGTTGATGATAAATATCAAGATAAACGTCTTCTTTTCAATTCTGTGAGCGAATATTGTGTTTACTAATATGTCCTTCTCCAAATATGGTTTCTCAGCCATTATCATCACCTTGAATTTCTCCATGAAAAAATGTAAAACAACATGTATGTGTTGACATTGTAGAATGACTGTTACCTCTTATGATTATCATTATACTATTTGCGCAGTTAAAATGCTATAAAAAGATTAGTAAACTGTGGTAAAAATGATCGTTTATGCAAAATGAATCCATTTACATCTCAATGTAAATCATCCTTGGTTTGATTTCATCGATTGGATTTATTCTAATAGGATTCTTTTATCACACAGGCTGTTGCAAAACCTATAAAAATCAAATTATTTCTTAACGGACCCATCCACGATACCCATCTCTATGAAGATATATCGGATGGCTTCTCAGTACAGATATCTAAGATTCAAATCTTTATTTGATCACTTTTATTTTTGTTACTAGAAACTTACCGAGAACTAGTATGTAGAAAAAGTCCATCGAAATTTTCCTATAAAAATCCAGTCGGATTTATTTCGTGCATAAGCATAGCTCATTGGATAATCTATTTTTAACTCCGTATCATTTTATAATTGATCGAGAGATCAATTCTTCTTCCAACGACTATATTTTAGGAAAACCAGCTTCGAAAATTTCTTGCACTCATCAATAACAGCATTAGATTAGCTGATTATACCGCTGTCTTGTGGAAGATATATAATGTTCCAAACCTTATTCGGTTTACTTTTTTTTCTTTTACAAAAATATCTTTGCAACATAAATCATGATAAAAGAGGGGGACACTTTGCACACAAAACGGCCCTAAATGAAAATCAGTTCTAACCATGATTTGACGCTGTACTGCGTGTGAGTACACGCTTCTGATCTTTTACAGAACATTTTCAAAAGGTTTTAGTCTCCGTCTACAAACAGTAGATCTCTACAATAAAACATACACTGCCGCGACTGTTGTAGCAGCCAGCAACACATTATACAGATCCGTTAATAACCTGCAGC